TTTAGTGGGAAAGACGGGAACCCATTCAAAAACACTGGAGATTTTATTGACAAGATCAACGAAACCCAAATGACATCCTAGTGTGTTTTGATGTGACTCATAAAACTGCCAGTTGTTCATCTAAGGTTTATCGGCGAAGTCAGAGACGAGCATTTAGTAGACCTGGCAAAAGTGCGCAGCAGATTAACCTTCTTTTTCTTTATGAAGAAACCCTAGCAATTAGATGGAATCAGCAACTCCAAACCAAAGTGCTGGTTGGTTGACGATACATTCATTATCTGGTCTTTTGGATATAACGTAGAAGGATTTTTGAACCACATCAAAATAGAATACATCCGGATAAAAACTTCACAATGAAGATGGAAGAAAATAGTAACCTGTCGCTCCTAGATGTCCTTGTCAAGAGGAAACATGACGTCAATCCTAGGTAAGGACATATACCTGAACGGTGATTCTCATTATCATCTAGCCCAGAAATAAAGCATTAGTACATCAAATACGTGTCATTTACTAGCCAGAATACTTGGATGAGAAACCAGGGCACTTACGATCTACTCTTGGAGGAATTGGATACTTGGATATGAATTTTGAACTGCCCATCAGAAGGATATCTAGGGACAAGGAAGAAGAAGCACAACATGTGTGTTTCCCTATTGCCGAGATTTATATTTCTAACTAAATTTCCACCTAGTTTAGTAGAGATTCATTTTCTGCTTCCAAGTTTTTGTAATATTAAAATTTGTAACAAAATATTTTAATTTATTTAAGAAATATTTGTGGATGAAAGTTGAGATACTACTCGTGTAAGAGCATATTTCACCGTCGTCCTGTACACTGTAGAACGTGTAAAGAAATATAGCCGTTTTAATAAACGTAACGCTAGTAATTCCGTAAGTGATTTTTTGCCCGGAGGGGCGGAATCAATCCAATTTGTTTAATAAATATTTAACGGCCATTAGATATTAAGAAGAGATGCGGGTAGGTACATTTATTTCAATAACAAATCCGGATGGAAGTGGATTCGGCGCACAATTAACATTAATTTAAAAGCAATGCCAATTTCCTTAATGCGTTTTAGATTTTCATTTCTCATCAAGGAAAGTAATCCACGATATCGCTTTCCTATATCAAACTTCACACCCTCCATAAAGCAAGAATTGAAACTCCTTCTCAATTAGGAAATTTGGCTTTTACGCCCGATTTTATGGGTCGCATGAATTATGCAAATGTTTTACATCGGCCTCCTGCGACGTACGCAGATAGAGACGTTTCTAATAAATGACAGAAATGGAATTTGTTGCAGAATTGATTTTCTGCTAAAATACTAAATATAAGTACTGAAAATACCGAATGAGTATTAAGCAGGAACTCAAATCGTTGTCCAGTTGTCAAGTACAACATATTTTGTAATAGCCGAAACTGTTCTTAAAATTAATGTTGGTAAAATTTGTTAAAACTTATTGAGAACCTCTGGAAAACATAGGTGAATAGTTGAGGCCGTCGATAGCGCGCTGTACATTATTTCTGTACTAAACAGAACAATTGGTAGTCCAGTTTTTTGTTATTATCAGTTCTTCGTTTATTTCTCTACGAGTGTTTTTTATTGCCTAAGTTTCAGGCAAAATTATTAACTATCAATTGTTTAAATAATTTATTTTTCTGGGTTCTTACTTTTAACAGCGTTCTTTTGTGAAAATCCGGTTCCTCTGATATCTGCGTGCTAATAATTGCGATTAAACATATTAAAATGGCGCATAAAAATAGAAACAATGAATTACTGGTTATAAAATTAAACGACAGCTTCCTAACGATATTTGTAATAGAAAAGTCTTATACGAAAAAGTTATATCTTTGCTGCGATTTTTTTTGTAAATTAAAGTTCATTTATTCAACGGCACTGAAGGCCGATCCTGTGTTATTTATTAAAAACGTTGGAAATGTTTTTACGCGACCCGAGATGCAACTTTATAATTTAAGTCGATATAATCTAATACTAGTAATATTAAAAGAAGGTTAGATTACATTGTCAAAAAATTTGTGCAGTCAACCGATTTTGTATTTGTATTGAATTCATTATTCACTTAATTATTAAATATTAAGCATCGTCCATCGACCCATCAGTGTTAAAAAGTGAAAGATTCCAGACAAAAGTTTTTATTTTGTAATTTCACGATAGTGACAATGTAATTTTTATAAAGAAGTAAAAAATATGAATAGCGTGCCGATTACTTTAAAACGAGATTCTTATTTCTTACTTTGCTTAATTTTTTAGTTTGTGCACAAACTAGTTTTAAAATGAACCGAGAAAACAATGCATTTACTATTTCCGAACGTGTCGATATGGTGTTAGTGTATGGTGCAGCCGGAGAAAATGTGCTCGCGGCGACTAGGTTGTACCGGGAACGATGGCCACAAAGTCACCCCCCATGTGCAAATACAATCCCATAGTGCGTTCAGCGGCTGTGAGATACGGGAAGTGTTATTCCTCGAGGAGAAGGACGTGGTCAGCAAGTGAACCTTAATGTTGAAGATGAAGTGTTGGAAAATCTTGACGAAAACCCCACAATTAGTACTCAACGACTCGCATAGTAAGTAGGAACATCATCTCGTACAGTACATCGCATTTTAAGGCGCCAGCTGTTGCACCCCTATCATCTGCAACCAGTTCAACAAATTTTACCCCCGGATCAACGAATGCGTTTTTGCAGATGCTTTTTACGGCAATGTGCCAATCGAGTAGACTTTCCTGCTTACGTTTGTGTAACAGATGAGGCGACATTTACCCGTGATGAAGTGAATTCCATAATTGCACATATGGGCCGATGAAAATACTCACGCGATGAGGGAAACTCATTTTCAACATCGGTTCTCGGTAAATGTTTGGGTTGGCATAATAGGCGATGCATTTGTGGGTCTCTACTTCTTTGAAGGACGACTAAATGGACCAACCATGTCTGAATTATTGGACGATGTGGCATTACAAGTTCGGGCTCGCATGTTTTATCTTCAAGATGGGGTTCCTCCACACAGTACTCGAGAAGTAACGACACTTTTGATTGAAATGTTTCCTCAGTGATGGATTGGACGCTTTGGTTCTGTGCCGTGGTCACCTCGGTTACCCGATCTAACTCCAATGGACTTTTATCTATGGAGTCACTTGAAGTCATTGGTTTACAATACTCCAATTGCTACGGTGGAAGAATTGCGAAACCGTATACTTGAAGCTGTTAACACAATTAGGGGAATACCTGGAATTTGGAAAACTATTTGCCATAATTGGGTGCGTCGGTGCCTTGCCTGTATCCGCGCTAATGGGGATCAATTTCAAAATTTTCTCTAGAAATGGTAAGTTTTATTTCATTTTGTTCCATATTTTAATGGAGTTTGTTTAGTGCACGCAGTTGGCAACTACTGATGCTTACGGATGTTGTTTTGTTTGCGAACTCTTATAGTAACAACAATGCATTTAGATAGTAATTACTATTAATTATTGTAATAAGAAAATATCAGTTTTTTTTTAAATATCTATTTTTCTTAGTATGTACTTTTGCATTGAAAATTTCCCAAAAATTGAGAAGTATCTTCCTATCTTTCAACGATGATTTGTTAACGCGCCTGGTCTACAGCACGTAACTCATCGTACAGCACACGGACAGGACCGTTCCAGAGAAAATATTTTGATCCATAATTGAACTTTAATTTACGAAAAAAAACGCAAAAACTTTTTCGTATAAAACTTTTCTATTACAAATATCGTTAGGAGGCTGTATTTTTTATAGATTATACACGCCACACCCTGTATGGAAGCGATGTGTGATTTGTGCAAACACTTGTTCAAGCCACTTCAGCTCTCAATGGAGCCAGTAGTTCCAAACATGTTTCTTCGAATTGTTGTGGTAGTAAAAAAATATTCTATTTGTATGCATTGTTTTTGCCAATAGTTTTGGCACCTATTCCTGGCCGTAGTTTACTACGTTTTTTTATTATTGAAGTATAAATGTGCAGAAGGAAGTGTTAACGGTAACGTGCAAATTGTCCATTTTAAAAGATAAATGAATATAAAATAATATAATTAAGGAAAAATGTAAGGTGTGATTGCTTGATAAAAAGTCTTTTATAAAAACGTCTTTAAAAAAGGTACGTTAAATTTCAGTTCCTATTTTACTTCTCACTGTAGGAGAAATATAGAAGAATGTGATCTGGGATTTATACACGATGGTATTCCAGTCCATTCCAATATAGTTACTCGACAGTATTTGGTATATTCAAATTGTTGGATATATGTATCACGAGCACAAAATTGGTCTCCATAGCCCCTGATTTAAATCCTCTTCATTTCTTCCTATCTTCTTAAACAATTGATTTTTTACGACAATTGGAAATTTGGCATCTCCGGATAGAAACTTGTAATGAAGGTAAAGATTGCTATTTCCAAATCCAGTTGTATTTAGTATTTTTTGAATAAATTATAAAAAAAAGGAAAATTATTTTATTTTTTTAATGAAAAATAAAATATTTTAGTGAAAAACTTCAAGAGACATAAAAGTTTATAATTGAGCCAAACTTTTGCGTTTTTTAGGGCAAGGTAGAGCAACGATGTGTTAGATGTCGGATGAAAAAACTTTTAATAATTTTTTTCGAAAATTGACACTTGATGAAATAAAGCAGATCAGGAATTGCAATTTTGATGTTCCCAAGATAAAACAAGTTATAAATTATTCATTTACCATTCTTATAAATTAAAAAACGTAGAATATTCAGTTCATCTGGTTTTAAATAGGTATTTAGGAATCAAAAGAAGAGAATAATTAAACAAGTGTAACAAGATTAAAATAACGCACATGGTTTTGCACCAATTGGCGTCTTTTTTTCTTTAAATTTCTATATTTCACTTATAATTTTCCCCGAGTTGTCTAAATGGCAAATACAGGAATAATTTAGAAAAAGGGTTACGTTTCTAAAAAAAAATAAATATAATAATAAAATAAAACCACGTGCGATCATCATAATTAACAATACTTTATTATTTACAAAAATAACAACATACTAAATAAAAACTGTCATCGATAAATTCGATCACTATACATTAACCTTACAACGTGTTCGTGTCAAACGTCACTTTCGACGCCCATCAACTGCGGCATGCGCCAACTAAGAGTGCATTGCCTCCATCCGAACTCACTGTCCACTCGTTCCGATTTCGGAAAACGAACTTAACGGGGGGGTATTTTTCGAAATACGATATGCAGGGTGGTCTTTAGGGATTATGGTCACCGAACCAAGAGAATGCCAATCATGGATTGCTTCTGTTTTAGCAAAATTATTGCACGTCCCTCACTCGCCCGGCTACCACGGTTTAACTGAAATAAAAGAAAAAGCAAATTTAATTCTGGGACAACTAAAAATAACTGTAGTTTTTTTATAAATGGGCCAATGTCGGAGCAATAAAAGTTACCAGTTTCTTAGCAGTAAATATCTTAGGAATTACTAAAATTCTAAGCCTAAACAAAAAAAAGTACTTGTATAAGTCTTATCATCTGAAATATGAGCTTGTGCTCTCAAAAATAAAATCTTAACATACTGACTGACTAATTAATGGACGTCGGAAACTTTGTGGCGACAATCAAGTAATAAACAGCAGTAATCTATAAGTATCTAGTAAGCGATAATACGCATTCTAGTAGCAGAAAAAGGCTAAATCTGTTGTGGTCAAGCCGTGTGCCGCTCTATGCTCACGATACACAATGCTACTGACGGCCATAAAAACACGTGCCATACACTCGACCAAGCAGAACGTCACACACACACAAACGACAATGAAATGCACGGCTAACGTACCTCAGCAAAAAACCGGTATTGTTCAACGGCACGCTAGGCCGACAGGGCATTAGGGTGCCGTTAGATACGTATCGAATAAATTGATCGATGCGAAGCTTCAGATCAGGACAGATATGTACAAATGTGAAATTATACATATTGTTCAAGAAAAACTACAGTTTGTGTTATAATTATTTTCTACAATTGCTTTTCTAATGAGAAATATAGTCCAATCAATTTAGATTTTTACGCTCCAAAATTTAGTTTGGTAAACAAAGACACGTAAAAATTTTGAAAAATTCCATAGAATTGAATGAAGTACTTTACCCCAGCTGAATGTATGGCTTCATTTTCAAAATGGCGTCCAAAGTTCGCAAAAAAACCCTCACCACGCGCATCAACGTGTCGAGCGGAGCAAGCATTTCACGGGGCCCAACAAAATTAAATTTTCTGTAAAAAGTGGTAGTGAATTGATTCACAGACTATTTTCTATATTGAAGTAAAAGTATTAAACTACAACATGTGTAAATTTCAGACCTTAATATTAATAAATGAGGTCGTAGCGATTCCGATTAAATTTCAAAATTTCAAAAAAAAAAATCTTTCGTCCCGAAAAAAGAAGTCAAAGTATCGGTAGATTTTTCGCATATTTCCAATTATTTTGCAATACGCGCACAATTTGCACAAGAATGTACCACTCTTGAAAAAAATTCAAAGCCCAAGATGGGTAACGTAAGGTATTACTGTGTAGTGTCTTTTTTTTTCGAAAAACTAAATTTTTGCGAAAACTATGAAATATTTTGTAATTTTACAAAAATAAACTTATTGTTCTTGCAAAGGACTACATATTATGAAAGTTTCGTAAAAAAAATCTTTTTTCGTTATAATGATATAGAACTTTTTAAAAAATGCGATTTTTAGCCGTTTTTCTGCAATAACTAATACATTTGTTTATCAATTGACATCGAGCTGGAATCAAAATTTTTGTTATAGAAGGTTCTGCAACTTTTGCCGAAAATATTTTTTCCTAAAATGTTTAGTTTTTTTTTGTAAAAAAAACTGTTTTTTGAGAATTTTGGACGACATTTTGAAAATGAAGCTCTAACATTTAGCTTTTTTTTACTTGTCTTTGTTTACTGAACTAAGTTTAGGCAAAAAAAGAGGGTATTTTCGACAATTTGACTGGCCTATTATTATTTTATTAACTTTTGCTGGTACATATTATTACGTATCTACTATACCTATACAGGATGTATTTACATGGAAGGGCACAAATGATACCAGAGATTCCTTGGGTGAAAATAACTCGATTTAACCTAACATAAGTACCTATATCCCAAGTCGGTTAATAAAAATGATACAGGGTGTCAAAGTGAAAAATAAAAAATGGTTTTTCCTCAATAATTTCTATAATTTTAGTCAGAAATGTTTCAAATTTTCAATAGAGAGGTTTTTTAATGATGGGAAAAATAATATAATAATGATTTTTGAGTGTCGAGTACGAGGCGCCCTCTGCAGACTATTAAATAATTTAGGACGCTGACTGTTGTAATGGGGTATTATCCAACTTGCTAATTATATCATAAAATGACAGTAACTTGAAAATTATAACAGTATTATGCAAAAAAATCATGATGTTTGAATTGGGAAATTTAGAATTATTACATAGTTAGGCGCAAACAATTTTTATTAATTAATTTTCTTTTTTCATATAATTTTTAATAAAGTATGATACTCTGTATTTTATATTTTGACTCGCTGAAGACGATGGAGCCATCAGAAATACTATATCACGTCAGGATTTTTACCTAACCTCAAAAAGTAGCTTAAAATCAGTGGAAATCTCGATTTTTTGTTAAAATAATTAAGATTTTGAAATTAAAGTAGGTAGAGATGTTTTAAAAAGCTTTGACCTTCATATGCGCAGAAACATAATTCCAACCGTCGCCTAAATTATTATACGTCCTAAAAACATTACACCTATTATTGGTATTATTCACAGTCTCTCTCGAGCTTTAGCGTAAACAAGCCTTTGATCCGATTACAAATATCATAATATTCTTATTCCCTATTCTTTATTATTTTAATTTAAACTATAAAAATATATATATCGAACGTTCGCCAGTTGACTTTATTGATGCCCGAGCGCCTTAGTTCATGTCTACTTGTAATGATGCACATCTGAGTCAATGTTTTCACAACGTGCTTATTAGAAGAATTATTGGGATACGCCACGCCTTTCGCGCATTTCGCGGCTCGAGAGATATTAAAAGACCTCTACACAGACGTGTCAATAGTATCAAAATAAAAACTTTTATTCCTGCATTTTTTTTTTTAATCTAAAATGCCTCGTTGTGGAGTTACAGCCATTTTTAACCAACTTTGAGGGTTATTAAAATGCCTATAACTCCACAAGTATGCATTTTAGAGAAAAAAATTTATTTGTGTTTTTCTTCCTTACATTAGGTTTAGGGCTCATGATATATTCCTTTCTATTAGTTTACAGTTTGCATAAATTGGGTCAAAATACTTTTTATTCCTGCACTTGTTTCTCTAAAATGCATCCTAGAGGAGTTATAGGCATATTAATAATTCAAAATTGATTTAAAATGGCTGTAACTCCACAAAGAGGCATTTTAGAGAAAAAAGTGCAGGAATAAAAAGGTTTTATTTTGATCCCATTAATCTGTGTACTTAAATTTCAAAATCTTAACTCTTTTAACAAAAAATCGAGATTTTCAGTAATTTTGAGCTATTTTTTGAGATTATGAAAAAATTCTGAGGTGTTGAAGCATTTCTGAAGATTCCATCGTCTTCAGCGGGTCAAAATACAAGGAGGAATCATATACTGTTAAAAAGTATATAAAAAAATGTATATTAGTATATTTAAATGTTTGTGTGCTTGTGTTGTTATAGTAATACTAATAACATTTTTTAAAGGGCCGTTCTTGTTCCTAACTAAGTTAAACACACTGTATACAGTTGTATATCCCCTGGAATGTTTGTACTAAAAATTATTTTGCACCAAAACAGCAGTTGGTCACAACTTTGGATTATAAGGCTTGACGAAAGTATAAAAAGTCCTTTAAAATCGGTCAAATAATAAAAAATGCACCAAAATTTTCATGGAAAGTACACTTGATCTAAATAAAACATCCAAATGAAAGTACTCGATTGGCAAAAAATAATTTAAAAAAATTACTTGAAAAAGTATTACGGTTTCAGTATTTCTACAATTATTACAAAATATATTTGACCGTACACCTTTTTTTCGCGTCAACAGAGAACCGAGGGGCACAGTCGCCATACACCGAAATAAAACTTATTTTAAGAAATGAGTACAGCAGCAGAACAGTTAGTGATGTGATCCTCATTGTTCCATTAATCTTCGAGTCTTACATCATTTATTTTTTTGACTCGGTTTACTGTTAATAACATTGAGTGTGCATTTAAATGCGACGATAATTAATTTCAAGTAGGTCATGTCAAATAAATTGTAGCCGGCTATTTATTACGTTTAATTATTATGGCATATACAGGATGTCGCGCATCTCGGTGTACCGTTAATTGCAACCAGGATGCAAGGAGAGAGGCAAAAAGGTGGTCTAATTATCTCAGTGTTATAAACTTTACAGTTACTTGGTACGTTCTAGTTAAAATTTCGAAGTTAATTATAGGTTAATTAAGATTAATTTGTTCGTTGTTTGTCGTCCTTGTAAAAAAAAAACAATGGAAAATTGGCTAGTACCGAAGCTATCAGTTTTTACAAATGAATTTTTATAAAAACAAAGAAATATTTTCCATAAATGAAACTGATTACAAAATGTTTATACAATGTGTTTTTGAACTTTTTCCATGACAACTGATTTTGTTAAAAAACCCGATTCTTAGAAATTAATCCTAACACTTATAAAAGTTGCCTGGAAGTGAAAGAGAAAATGATTTATATACTGAAAAAAAAGGTTGGTGTAGGTGAGAGAAAAACACTGATTCTAAATGCTTTGGTGGCTATTTTTTGTTGTAACAGTACAAATTGCAGTAATTGAGTGTTATTGCAATTGTTAGAGTTTTATTATTACTAATATGGATATACAGCGAATATAGACAAATTGTTCTGACCCTAGAAAAAATGTTTGCAACTCGTTTACCGCTTCACCATTTACCAACAGGCGTACGGTAGCATAAACAAAAACGCAATTTTTAAAAACAGTATTGCGCCTCATTACTGTTATGAAGGTGTACAAATATGGTGAAAAATATATTTCTCCCCAGATTTAGGAAAATTTTGAGAAATGTGGCAACATCGCTTTTGAGGTTCTTGGAGACGATTCCGTAGAATTTCAATACTCCAAAGCTTAATATATTCGAGATACGCCTTCTTTCCTATATAGTTGATTTCGCCTAATGGAACTAAGTTGGAACATTTTTTGATCGAGCAAGCAAAGAACATTTTGTAAAAAAGTAATGGTTCAAAAGAAGTTGCAATGTAAAACATAACCCCTTGACGCACCTCAAAAGATATATGAAAAAATTCTTAAAAAGT